TACCCAAATAGCCACACGTGGCTTGCGAGCCGCAGTTTGCTGACCCCTGGCAGCTCTTTTGTCTCAAAAGTTTGCTGACCCCTGACATAGTAGAATGTAAAAGATAGAGATATGCATTTTGTGAGGCTCTTTTAAGTTACTCATTAGTACGTTTAGTGATTGGGTATGGATGGAGATCTAAGATTTCAGATAAGTCTTCAGAACATGGGACTGTGAAGACTGCAGAGAAGTGAATTAGAGAATAGGTAAATAGGATATGGCCAGAATGAGCAGCCATTTTATGCAGTCATTGAAGTATAGTGCCTCTGCAGTAATGCATTAGCCTCATATCTCTAATCATCGTGTCATGAGGGCAGGGAGGGAGTAAAATAAGAAGTGGGGAGTTGTGGAATGTGAGTTCCTTGAAATTCTTCACACTGTTAGGCACTGTTCTTTCACCTGTGTGAAACTGTAACATTAGTACTTGGGCAGCAGTAGGACAGGGTAGATGGAGGGACTTGGGATAATTGTTTAGTAGTGTGTTTGTGTGGTATGCATACGTGTGCATGCTATGGAAGGGTAAGTCAGGCCACAAGTCTAAGTCAGAGAGCTCACAGGAAGGAGAAATTACAAGGCACCCTTGACCTTGTAGGGATTGGCCCATTTTTGCAAAGATACACATCCAGAAAATTTAGCTAAGGTATGAGAAGCAGGCAGGTGCTTGAGTTCTAGGAAGTCAAGACTCAAATACAGGTGGTGAAAGAGCAGGCAATGGAGAAAAAGAGGTCAGGAATAAAAAGGCCATTAGTGTCTGTGCAGTAAGTATTTAAGATCCACGCAAAGCTTCCACATACTGTGGAGGGATACCAACAGCAAGATAACAATGTCTTCTCACTGGTTTCAGGTTGTGGCTAAGTCTGAATATGACATTGGAGACAAAGAAATACAGCTGACTGGAAAAAGTTTACTTCTAAAGCATTAATAGGCAGATAAATCAATCTATCAATCTATGAGTAAATCAACAGTGCTAATTTGGGGGCATTGTGTCTTAAAGCAGCTCTGAGTTACTAATGCTTACTAAGCCTTTTTGTTTTGGCCACCACAACACATTAATCAGCACATTATTCTGTTAGTTTCTCATGTGCACTGATTTTTTTTTTTAAGATTTTATTGGAGAGTTGGGGGAGGGGAACAGTGTTGGGGAATTGGGGAGGAGGAACAGACAAGTTGTTGTCATTCAATCTTAGTTGTGGAGGGTGCAGCTAGCTCAGCTCCAAGTCCAGTTGCCATCCGGCCGCCCAGTGGCACCTCGCAGCTGCTCAGCTCAAGGTGCCGTGTTCAATCTCAGTTGCGGGTGGTGGAGGGGGTGGGGGGATGAGAGAGTGGGGGCGCAGCCCACCATCCCGAATGGGCAACCTTGTTAAGAGCACACGCTCTAACCACTGAGCCATCCGGCCACCTGTTGGCAGCTCAGTAGAAGCTCAGCTTGGGCGCAGCTCACTGGCCCATTTGGGAATTGAACTGGCGACCCTGTTGCTCAGAGCTCACGCTCATAACCAACTGAGCCACTCGGCCGGCCCGGTGTACACTGATTCTTAATTGGTAATATTGAAGATAAGTTGGAAGACTGGTGGAGTAAAAGTTTTAGATTTCTGGTTTGAGCTGCACCTTTCTCTTGGTCTTGTCTTGATCTTCTGCTCTGCTTTATGGGTTCCGGTGCCCAAGGGGCACAGCTAAAGAGAATCTGGGTCCTTTAGATTGTTTTTCAGAGATGTGCATTTACTAGACAAGCACATTTTTCTCTTACTATATTGACTTTCATGGCATATCTTTGGCGGATGACTATACTAACAAACACTCAGTCCCTTTATTGTTCTTCCAAACACTCGCTCTTCATAAGAGATAAAGATGGGAGTTGAGAGTTTGGGGAGTGTGGTTTGGGGTGAAGGGGATAACACAGTGGGGAGAGTCTCATCCTGCCAAACCTATTTCGAGAATTCTATGGTGTTTGACACTGCTCATTTGACTCTTAAACTGCTGATTGTAGCTTGTCGTCTGACCTGAGATGAGTGCATGGGAGTGTGTCTATGAAAGCCGTGGCCTGAAATTTCAAGCCAGAGGAGTTGAGTGGAAAGAACACAGAGATGGCAAACATGAAACATGAGCTTTACCCCCAGCTTGTATTACCAAGTCACTCTGAGACATTAAGCAGGTCATGTAGCCCTTCTGTGCTTTGGTTTTGGCTGTCATTGAACAGGCATTAAAATAAATGATCACCAAGCATTTTTGATGATGTAAGACAATGCTCATGGGAGTATAATAGAAATGGAAAAAACAGGTTACTGACTTGATTAAGAAACTTGCCTAGTATCATCGGACTAGTAATTGCCCATCAGAGACTCAACCCTAGGCCTGTCCATTATCAAAACTCATGGCCTTAACCATCAAGTTCCTCAACATCAATGTGGTAGAAACCAGAATGTTACATTTCAAATAACATTTCATCACTGATTTCCTGACACCTGGTAAAATATTAGACAGGAGCAAAGTTGTTTTGTAGTCCACCATTGTCACATAACTTATGTCTTCAAATATTCTGTATCTTTAAGCCCTCAAGCACCTGATTTCATTGTGGGTTAATCAAATTGATTGACTAGAAGGAAAGCTGGAGAAGTGGAAGGGGGAAATGTATATTGGTTACTGTTTGGCAAGAGGAAAAGATGAAACTGCGAACTTAAAAGAAAAAACTGCATGTTGTTTAGTCTTTTTCCTGTTTGCAATGTTTTCTTCCCCTTCCTGGAGAGTTTTGCCTTGTGGTAGGAAGTTCTCAGCACACAGAGCATTTCTTTCCTTCCAAACATAATCTACGTGAATTAGCACATTAAGGCAGAGGTTTTTTTTTGTGTGTTTGTTTTTGGTAAGTCTCAATTCCAGTTCTGTGACAATTAAAGATAGGTGTTTATTTACAGTTTGGTTCAAATGATCAGTCTAGCTCTTCAAAAGTGAAAATTAATGGATATAAGTACGAAATTGTGATAGAGTAATGGCCTCCCAAGATGTCCATGACTTAACCTCTGAAACTTGTAAATAGGTAATCTTACATGAAAAAAAGGGACTTTGCAGATGTGGTTAAGAAATTTAAGATGGGGTGGTACATTATCTTGGATTATCTTGGTGGTCCAATATGTGGTTACACAGTGGAAAGTTCAAGAACTTAATTGTCCGACCTCGTAATCAAAAGGGTCTTTATAAGAGGGAAGTGGGAGGGTTATAATCTGAGAATGTGACAATGGAACAGAGGGTAGGGATGATGCAGCTACAAGCCAAGGAATGCTGGTGGCCTCTAGAAGGTGGAAAAGTCAATGAAAAGATTCTCTTCATGTATCCAGAAAGAACATACCCCTGCCGACACCTTGATTTTAGCCCCATTAAAATCCACTGTGGACTTCTGACCTCTAGAATTCAAGATGCATCTGTGCTGTTTTCAGCTAATCAGTTTGTGGTAATTTGGTACAGTAGCAATAGGAAAGTAATGATGTTTAATGACTCTTCTAGAGTTGTAAATATCATAGACAGTAATTTCATGCAAGAATTTTCAAGGGACAATATTTTATTACAAGCTTATTACTGAGGCTGTTCACCTCTTTCTTCAGCCTGCAGAAAGCTTCTAAAAGTTATCATGACTAGGAAATTTAAAGGGATAAACCAAAAATAGATAAATATCCTGGTTTGCATTTTAAACCAAATTGAGACAAATCCATTTATCTTGGGCACTTTCAATGCCTTTCTGTAAAGTCTATCTGTGTACAGCAGAAGTGAGAGAAGGACCAATGAGCTGAAAGATAACTCAATCACTCCGCTTCCTCCGTCTTTGCTTCAGTGCTTCATACAGGAAATCTGTTGCTGTGTCAAGCTCCAGAGAAGAGTTTCTTCTGTTCCAAGTTACTAACCAGGCTAAAACACATCAAGTTGAAGGAAGGGGCTAGGCGGAAGGAGTGTCATGCTGCTGATGGGTTAAGAGGATTCAGCCCGGAGAAGTCCACCAGAAAGAGCCTTACCATGCCCACAGCTCCTTTTATACCTGTGTGGAGGAGAAGCACTGAGTGAAGGGCAGAAAACAAGAAAACAGAAATGCCCTGCACTTGGAGAACTTCTGATCTACAGCTGCTACTGATTTTGACTGTCTTCTTAGTGCCTGGTAAGTTTGAATTCTCTTTAGTGTGACAGGAGAATGACTGGTGAGAAACCTAATCTCAGCTTTTCCTGAGCTTTCTTTTCCTTTCTTATGGAGCAATATGAGATAAATGCAATCATAGATATGGGGGGGGAGAGGGGGGTGTCCTCCCAGACTTGTTTCACTTTATTATCCTGATTTTCCTCGTTGTCTTCTTGTACTTTGTACCCCACTGCAGTCAGCTCACACATCTCTATGATTTGCCTCACTGCCCACTTGTTTCCTCCTCCCCCTTTTTTGAATGAAGCAGAATAAATTACATAATTTCTAGTAACAATCCAAGTCATCTGGGCTCTCTTTATCTTCTTCTCCCTTTATGAAAAAATTTAAACAATGATCCCAATTCATTTAGGTCAATATTGTTAACAGTATAACTTAGGAGAGTTGATAGCTTTCTATCACTTTCTGTGACCAGGTGCTTGTTAAAATATAATATACTCACAGTTTAGCGGTGCCTCTGTGATGTATGTCTGTATTTATTTTTAAGATGTGTAGGCTGTAAAAGACACTTTCTGTGCTAGAGGACACACTCTTCAACGTCTAGGTTGCTAAAGATGTAGAGAATTTGGACTATTGTGGGGGTGTTCTGGTTTCACCATAGAAGGCTGGTAGGAGTCAATGTGGGAGGGAGTTTTCAGGTTTCACTTTTAGTAGATGGGAGCAGTGGCAAGGAAATATGTAGTTGGTTTTAAATTTTATAATTTGGTCATTGAAAGAATAAAAGTTTTTTTTTTTCTCATGTGAATGACTTGAACATATTGCCTGCGTTCCTGGAAAAATAATCTGTTTTCCACACGATAATCTTACTGGTGAGCACACACAAAATAGCCATACTGTATGACTGTATTTTCTATGCAAAATTTTCACATGCTTTTCTCCTTTGATCTGCACAGCAACTCAGTGAAGCAGGCTGGCAGACATTTCTTTATTTTACAAAGGTAGAAATTGAGGCTTAGAGCCGTGAAATGATTTGTTCAGCACTACTAGTATATGGCAGAGTCACACCCGGTCACATCTGTAAGCATCACTAAACATTTGAATAGGCAATTTTCCTCAATATTTAGCCACTATACTTTTCACTAAACAGCACCACTCTTTATAATACCACTGAAAAAAAAATGTTAAGCCAATACTTGGTTATAAACTTAGGGGACTACTCATTTAAAAAAAATCATATGATCTGAATCTTTGAGGTCTTGTTGCAAGCTGTTACAGAAAACTGTGCAGGGCCCAACTTGGCAGGGAAGCCAGGTAGGCATGGAGTCATCTATGTCAAGTTGCGCTATGACTTTTCGGTAAAGGAAAAAAAAATCAAGATTAAAACATAATATAGTCAATATAGTATGATAACTTTGCATGGTGACAGACGGTTACTACACTTCATGTGGTGAACATATTGTAAGATATGTAAATGTTGAATCACTATTTTGTGCCCCTGAAACTAATATAATAGTGTCTTTCACTATACATTAAGTAAATATTTCACTCCAAAAAAGTGATTAAAACATAATTGATAATTTTGAATTTTAATAAAGTTTTGAATTTAAAAACTATTTATAAACACAACTAAGGGATACTACATATATCAAATCTCTGAAACCTGTGTTTGTATATAATGTTATCTGAATGTTTAGAATCAAGATACATAAAAGCAGGTGACTTTATGGGCAGTGATTTGGCATGATAAATTCACCATGAAATCATTTAGAAAGATGAGAAGCAAACACTTGGGGCATGAATTTATGTCTTTACTACTAGTACTGCATTGTTGTTACTACTGCCAAACAGAAATAACTCACTTCATTATACAAGATAAATTCACAAAGGAGTGAGGGAGCTAATGACTTCAACGTAAAACATAGCATTTAAAAAAATTCTATTTATTTTTCTCTTTGCTCATTTGCCCATGACTTCCAGCAATGTGGTAGTTGGTAGACAAAGTTTATTCAGAAAATACCTGAGGGGAAAAATTAAAACATCCTAATTCATTCACTGCAGGGCAAACTCACAACCCTGCTCTCCTTTCTCTGTATTCCTTTCACTCCACACCACTTCTTCCTCCTTTTTCTGGCCAATTATCTTCTAGTTCTTTTGTGGGTTTAAATTATATTTTTTTTATTCCAATCAGTATCCTACCTTTTATAACAGTCACTGACATTGAGATTATGAGTTTACTGAAACGGAATCCTCTACTTTTTTTCTTTCTTGGGCTCATCTGACCATTTATCATTATCTTCCACTAGGGGGCAGACAGTAACAAGAAGAGGAGATAAAAATCAAGACAGCTATTTGGTAGCTACAGCCTGTTTGCAAAAGATAAAAAAAAAGGAGTTAAAAGCAATTGTGAAAAAGAAGGGGTTTGTCCTCATTAATTTCTGCCCTACCTTCCTTTTCTAGTTGTGATAGTTGTGAATTTAGATATTATAATAATTTTTAGGTGTGTTTTCTCTGTACATCCATGCTTAAGCAATTAATAAATAAATAAAAAGTTTTAAGAACGCTAAGTATGTATGGAAGGGGTATGTGTGAGTGCACATGTGAATAGTGCCTAAAAGTTATTAGCAATCTAAATTAGGGAAATCAAGCAAAGGTGACAATTTAAGAGAACATTTTAAATCAGTCAGTCTTCAAATTGTCTACAAATCTAGGAAAAATCCAAAAATGGGAAAAATTACAGCGGGTTGGAGTTGTTGAAGGCTTTATGGAAGAGATGGGTCTTGAGCTGGGCATAGAATGACAGGTTTGGATCCATGGGGAAAGGCAGAGATATAAACTGGACGTACAGCGTGAACAAAGGCAAGGTGGTCTGGGGAGAGAAAGAACTCTAGCTTGATGGAACAGAATTGTGTGTTATATGATTAGAGGAAATAAGGGTGAATTTCGGGGGTCCTTGATAGCTAAATGAAGGAACTTGGACTCTGTGCATTAAGCCTTGAGGAGCTATCTGTTGTTTTGTGAATGAGAAAATAATATAATAAAGCAATATTTTTGGAGAATAGCATGGCAGCTGTTTCCCCTTCAGTGGGAGTGGCACTTGGTAAAATATTTGAAGCAGGAGTCAAGAGCTCCTACCCTTGAGTTTCCATTTTAGAAAGTCCTGTGATTATGCTGTGAGACATTGGTGGCTGAGAAGGGAGGTTTCTTTGCAGAGGATGATGTCAAATTCAGTACAGGGAGAGAGAACAACTAGCAGGAAAACTCCTATAGGTACCTGGACATATAGCACAATCCGTGGTTTGTGAGTGGAGAAGCCAACAAAGAGAGTACTCAAAGAGATAAAAATAGTGGAACAGGGCACTAGAGATTTCTATATTTGGGTCCGAGGAGCAATAATGATCTTTCCTCTCAATAACAGAGAGCAAGATCTGAGAAGAGATGGGAAAGGAGACAATCTGGGGTATAAATGGAGTTCTTAACCTTAAATAAAAAGAGGGAAATTCTTCTGAAATGAGGAATAAGATGAGAAGTTAGAGATAGTGATACTAATGAGTTGAGATAGAAATAAAGAGATGAGAGAGTTCCACAGTAGATAAGCTGCCTCCCAATGGGGTCATGAGTATTTCAGTTAATGGTGTTCGTTAATAAAATAACTCAGTTATCATTTAGTTTTATGTAGTGTCTGAAAAATCAACCTGTACAGTGATTAACATTCAGTAACCAATGATCTACTTTTCCTCTTCCTCCTTGTTATCACTGACAAGCATTTGATAACTCCTTACTGGAATTAGGGAGCAGTTCTGTGGTTATGAAATAGCTTTGGACTGTGTAACAAACTCATGTAAGAGTCACAATTAGCTAATTATTTCCAGGAAGAAACACCATTATTCATGCATTGACGCTGAGCAAACAATTTCGAAATTTTCTTAGCTAGAGTTTGTATGCCTTGTCTGTCCAAAAAACCTAGAAACCATCTTAAGAACAAAATCTTATTTGTGTTTAAGGAAAGCGGTATAGAAAAGTATCAGACACAGGACTGGAAAGTTTTAGAAGCAAACCATTTTCATTAAAAATACCTGTTCCTTTGAGTTGATGTGATTGCAGTCTCTCCAGGAATCAGACTCTGAAACAGAGTTTTGAGTAGAGAATGTTTATTAGGGAGGACACTTGGAAGAAACACTTGGAAGAAAGGTCAAGGTTGCAGAGGGAGAAGTTTATCTGCAATCTCAACACCCTTGATACCCTCATTTGACCCCCCTGGGGAGCTGTGGATTTAGAATGGCCTTAGAGAGGCCCTGCACTGAATCAACATGGCTGGGCCTTTGTACCCTAATCTCAATCAGCCATTGGATGTGGGATACCCTGAAGAAGGACCTGACTGTGGGCAAAATAATTGATTTCTGAAGATGCTGAGAACTGAAGGCCATCTGCTGATGGTGCTCCTAGTAGTAAGAGCAAAAAGTTATTCCTTTAAGGGGATTCTGAGTGCATATGCTATGCCCACCATAGCTGCCATTTCTACTATTCTTCATTCCTTCCTGAATTTCTGAGTTTGTCTGGTACTATTCCCCTGCAACCTAAATAATTTCTTCTATCATCACTAGTAGCATAGGCCTGCTGGTTGGGAGTTCTCTTGATTTCCTTTTATCTAAATAACTTTATTATAGAAGCATGTTTTTTTCTGGATATAGAATTCTGGATTGACTTTTTTATCCAGCACTTTAAAAATATTGTTTCACTATTTCTGATGAGAAGTCAGCAGACACTTAAATCATTGTTTTCCTGAATACAATCTGTCATTTTTCTTTGGCTGCTTTCAACGTTTTCTCTTTATTGTTGTTTTTTAGCACATATAATGTGTCTATGTATGGTTATTTTTATATTTATCCTGCTTGGGGATTACTGAGATTCTTGAATCTGTAATCTTATGCTTTTTAGCAAATTTTGGGAAATTTTCAATCACTATTTCTTCCAATAAATGTTCTGCCAACTTTGTCTCTCCTCTTCTTATAGAACTCAAATTACAC